GAGCTCTGTGCGTAGGGTTGGACGGCTGAAACTGACAACAAACCAAGCAACGCTCGACGTGGTCCGAGATATCACGACGCTTCCCCGGCCAATAAGCAACCTGGCACAGGGCACCGAACGTGGCCTTGACGCCTTTGTGACCGGCGGATTGAGAGTCATGAGCCTGCAAGATCATGTCCCTCCTCAGCGGTTTTGGAGTAACAAGGACAGGCGGCGAAGGAGGCTTGGCGGCGTGCATCAGCAGCCCTTCGACGACCCTCAGCGTGGACCGCACACGAAAGAGAGAGCGAAGCTCTGGAACGGAATCAAGCTCGACGGAAGTCGGTAGCTGGGTTTTAGGATCAGAAATGTACTTGATCATCCTGCTGACAGCAGGGTCCCGGGATTGAAGACTGACAAGATCGGTATCCGAATAGGCAGGTTGAACGGCCACCGCACCTTTGGGTGGTGCCGAGTCGGACGCTTTAGCAGCCCGAGCTCGAGTAACTACACACACCTGGTTTTCATCAGGGAAAGACCACACATGTCCATCAAGCCACCCGGGTTCGAAAACCCACAGGGGACCATCGGTCGCGCCCTGTTTGGCCAAAGAGTCTGCAAGATCGTTCAACTCCTTTTCAGGACCGGGTGCGCGAGAGTGACCTTTGACTTTACGCCAGTAAATGTGCATGTCAAGTGCAGTCACCAGAATGTCACACGCCCTGAAGAGGGCCTGATTTTTGACGGGCTTCCGGCTAGCGGTCTGGAACCCGTTACTCTTCCACGTTGGTAGGTGACACAAGAAACTGAGACGGGCATAGTCCGAGTCAGTGCAAACCACCAGTTCACGGAAGCCATGGTCCCTGGCGCTACGCAGCGCTATCACGATCCCCGCTACTTCAGCATACTGTGAGGTCTTCTCACCCAGAGAGTAACATCGGGACTCCCTGCGGTCACCGTCTACCCAGAAGACACCCACGCCCGCACTAGGCGCAGAACCGTGCCGAAAAGCACTGCCATCCACGTATACGGTCGGTAAACCCGCACAGTACGACTGGTCGTAGTAGTGGTGGTTGCGGTTTAGAAGAGCCTGAGGGGGCCTAGCTGGCGGGACTGACGCGATGGCGAGCAATGTTGACACGCAGCCAAACCCATGCCAAGAGGGCTACGTCGGTTCTGGGCGTAGCGCACCTCGATGTCGAAACTTTGAAGAGCCAACAGCCACGAAGCGATTCGTGAATTGGTCACCACACCATCCCTGATGCGCTGACTGTTAAGGAAGGTCACCGGCTGGTGCTGTGTCTCAATGATGATTTTCTGTCCGCCAATGTAGTTCGCAAAGTACTTAACTGCCCACATGGTGGAAAGCAAAGCCTTTTCACAGTCCGAGTATTTCAACTCAGGTCCAGTCAAGAGCTTACTAGCATAGGCAACGACACGCCTGTCGCAGTCATGAATCTGGTAGAGACCAGCACTCAAACAGTGAGCTGAGAAACCAACCTCAAGATGGAACTCCTTGTCACAGTCGGGGAGCGCCAAGCACGGAGCCGAGCACATGGCGGCCTTCAGGTCATCCATGGCCTGCTGGTGCTGCTCCGCCCACTCGAACGCCACATCCTTCTTCAACAGATTAGTCAGAGGTCGTGCCAACTCAGCTTAATGTTCCACGAACTGACGCGAGTAGTTGCAGACCCCCAAGAAGCTGCGAAGTTCGGAGACGTTCGTCGGAGGTGTGATGGTGGCAACACCCTGAATCCTGCCAAGCTGAGGCTGCACTCCCTGTGGTCCCACAAGTAGGCCAACGTACTGAACTTGCGACCTGCACCACTGTCCCTTGGCGAGAGAGATCTTAGCACCCGCCGCCGCGAGCTGACCCATGACATGGTCCAGCTCGGCCAGGTGGTCATCCAACGTACGCCGACGAATAAGAATGTCGTCGACATAGATGAGTGTCCCACGCTCTCGAGCATCGGGGCAGGCCTTGTTCAAGAAGATGTTGAACTCAGCTGGCGAGTTGGAATAACCAAAAGGACACCGGGTGAAGGTGTACTGCCGGTTGGCAAAGGAGAAAGCAAGTTTGTGTTGGTCCGATTCGTGGACGGGAATCGTCCAGAATCCAGACGCAATGTCAAGGGTGGAAAAGTACTTAGCATCTTTCACTTTCGGAAGCTCCTGCTCCTGGCTGGCTCGCCATATGTAACGGAATCAAAGTGATGTAACTATCTAAAGTTGTATCTTAATACACTGTTAGTAGTTCACTTTTTATAAACAGAAGAATAGGCTGTTTTTATCATCAGGGAGTTTAATTAAACACTCTGTATTGACTTTGAGACAAGAAAAGAGAGAGATATGGGATCGTTTGAGAATCTTTAATTTCTGAATTATAAATTCTAAACAATCTACCAGGACTACTCTGTGATGGATGAGAATGGATTCGGATGTTGTGTTGGTGCGTGTGTGTGTGTGTGTGTGTGTGTGTCTGGTTCAGATTCTCTAGGATGACGTAATCGAATCTGGTCGTCTTTGTTATGACTAGATATCACGAGGCTTATAAAGTGATGACATGAGCCGCTATTTTGCCGTGTACGTACCCAGTGGGGGTCTCCCAGGTAGATCAGGAAATGCCGGGTCTGGAAACCTCGGATGTACGGTGGAGCTGTCGGTGCAGCGATCACAACGTTTCAAAGCCCGTCTGGAGGGTCGACCCGGTACCGTTCAGCGGCGTCAGCAGGTGCTCTTATTTTGAAAGGACGTCGTCTGGTTGTTAAACGACGAAAATCTCCCGTTTCACAGTTCTTAGTTTAAAGAAAACACATCCGGCCAGGCTGCGCTTGTCTTTAGGATGATGGTGAATAGAACTGAAGTCAAGATGGAACTGACTTAAAATGGCGTTGCCTTGTTATATATCTCTGAATTGTTGATAAGTTTCAGTAAAGTAGATTGGACACTTGAAGTCAACACCAGATTCTCTTGCGGCAGCCGAAAGCTCTGATTGGTTGGAACAATGTGTCATGCGTTTCTATGGAGATGAGGATCAGTATGTCTGCACCGTAGTCCTGGTTTCATTAAACATAATTCATGACATATTTATTTCACAGATCATTCACTTGATTATTGTTGATCAACATCTGTTTTGCTTAATAATTTTAATCACAAATAAAGTACTTTGATTAAGTAAAGCTTCTTCTTCTCCTTCGGACTCTTCTCCTGGAATGTAAACAGTCTGAGGAACAACCCGACCTTGGTTTTTCTACACGGTGTTATTGTGCCCAGGGGCCAGCTGTATGGAGTTGAAAACCATGAACTTCATAACCTTACAGTATTCATGGGTTGGATTGCACCCATTTTTAAACTCGGCTATCATTTGGATCCCAGTGTCGCTCCAGAGAAGTTGTGTTGGAAACGGTGACACTGACATGCTTCATCTGCATACAAACTCACCAGGTAAAGAGTTTAGCTACATGCCAAAGCTCAGAGAAAATACAGAATATCTCCTCTGCTGATGAAACTCAGTTAAGCAAAAGAAAATAACAAAGTTTTTGACGTATTTTTAGATTCTTATGTGTGAAAAATGTGCAAACATAACTGTTTGTCATAAGCATCTCAAGATAAAAAAAATCTGTTTACTTCCAATAAACTATCTTCTTATCAGACCTGATTAATTCATTCATCAAAGACACTGGACTCATTTCTCTGTTCAAGGAAAAGGACGATAAATTGTGCAACAACAGCAATCAAAACTTAAAGTATCTTGATTCAAACTGCAAAACTAAAACCATCACCGCACAGTGAGTCAGAGATCTTGGAAGACGGCTTGAGAAAAGCTCTCAAACTATCCATCTAGTATTCCCATTACCACACTGCATCATAAGAAACTAAAATAGGAGCCACCAGGAGGACAGTCTCACTCTGTGGTTGAATGAAGTCACACGAACACTGCTACATCTAAAGATGTCAGAGTGAGTAAACTGACTTCTGAAGAGGTCTCCATCTGTTCTCAGACGGTGCAAGAAGACATTAAATCACTACAGAGCACGAGTGTGCACTCACGGGATGAAGCAGAAGATTACACCTCGTCACTTCAGTCGCCATCCTTCACCTTTCTCATTCTTGTAAAAGTTATTCGTTTATGATCTCGTCTCATCACTCATAAGACGTGGGAAGGTTTGAGCCCTTCTGACATCATCCATGAATGATACAGTAAAATGCATGGGAATATTTGGTGCTTTTATTTTGGATGTAAAACAAACTCAAAAGAAGGGCAAAACATGAAAGCGCCCTGAAAAGGGGGGAAAAGCAGAAAGCTGCAAGAATAAAATATTTTCATTAAAATTTTACCAAAAATCCTCCTGAATAAAAAAAATTATCCTGCAAAATATCATCAGTCAAAACAATCTGGATGCAGTTATTTTAGGAAAGATGATCAGAAAAGGTCTGCCTTTCTGAGGCAGATAGGGGATACAAGCTATTACCACTTTGGCCTTGTGTTCCTGCCACTGGCACAGAAAGGATTTCACTGACAGAAATGAATGGATGCAATTAAACAGCAGCTGGAGGCAAAATAATAAAACCAATCAGGTAGGCTTAAGGTTTTAAAAAGATGCCTTTTGGAAAATGATTCTAAACCTTAGCTATACATATTAAACAACCTTAAGTGGAATAATTTGGCTTTCTCATTCCTGGTTCTCAGAAATTAGCCCACAAGAATCATAAATCTCACATTAGAAGACCAGGAAGCAGTAAACATATATTCTTTTTAATTCATTTTTGAACATTTTCTTTTGTTTTGTTTTTTCAAATCGTAATTATAAAAATAAAAGTATTCCCAGAGCATTGAAGACCGGCATCTTTGTTCCTGTAGAATGGGCTGCTAATCAGCCTCTAAATGGAATTTTTAAATTAATTTTATTATTTTTTTTACTCTATTTCTCGATTACTGACATCTTTTTATCCATCTTTCGCAGCTCAGAGATTATGACTGTTGATAAAAGTTATTTTACCTCCTCCTGTCTGCGTCGCGACGCAAGGGTGGTAACAACTACGCGCGCACGGCTGCAATAAGTGCCGCAATATGTGCGTCTCTCGAAAGCCGCACACATTCCAGCAGACAGAAGGAGCGCGAGACTGAGTTCGCTTGTTTCTGGGAGAGGAAAAAAGCGGGGAGAAATGCTTTAACGTGGATTATTGAATGGAGCTGATTTTACGCACCGAGGGTCGAAATTTCGGACACAGGCAGCCATGGGTCGGTGCAGCTGAGGTCGTCACAGCTGAAATTGTAGCGATAACAAGGTAAGACCGCCGGGGGGAGAGAGGGGGTTGCTAAATTTTCAACATCCTCTTTCCGTTGTGCTCAGTGTTTTAACTGCAGTTAGAAGCTTTGTTTGTAGTGTAACAAATCCTGTATTTCCAGGTTCAAAATGCACTTCTAAACAAAAGAAAAGAACAACTTTAGGGATAGAAATCCTGTGATAATGATGCATTTTAGAGAAATATGTTATTGACCTGGAAGCATGCTTTACGCACGGCTCCCAGTTACGCACCAAGTTTGTGCCAGCAGGTTAACTCGGGAGTCAGAATGGACGCTGAGAGTCTTATTCAGCACATCGAGCGAGACCTGGAGGCTACTCTATTCCCCTTTTCAGTGAGCTCTGACTGGATGGACGATGGAAACGAGACGACTGGGAACCAGTTCCAGCAGCCAGATTGGCAGGTGAGACAGAACCAGTTCATGCTGCATTTCCCAGCAAAACAGAGAATTAAAGAATCGGGTAATGTGTTGAGTGTTCATTTTAAATGGCCTTTGTTTTTCTGACTAGTTAGTGAAGATAAATTCTGAGATCTCTAACTGAATTATTGACTCAGCTTAAAGATAAACAGATGCCGTTCATTTTTACTTTATAATGTCAGACTGGTTTTGCAAGTGACACAGTCTCCTCTCCTCTCCTCTCCTCTCCTCTCCTCCCCTCTCCTCTCCTCTCCTCTCCTCTCCTCTCCTTCTCCCCAGGTGGCTCTCTGGGCTATAGCCTACTCCCTCATCATTCTGGTGTCTGTCACCGGGAACGTCACAGTGATCTGGATCATTCTGGCTCACAGACGCATGAGGACAGTGACCAACTACTTCATAGTCAACTTGGCCTTTTCTGACGTTTCCATGGCGACCTTTAACACTCTTTTTAACTTTGTCTATGCGCTCCACAACGACTGGTACTTTGGTCTGGGTTACTGCAGATTTCAGAACTTTTTCCCCATCACAGCCATGTTTTCATCAATATACTCCATGGCTGCCATTGCAGTGGACAGGTGAGAGAGTTCTCCAGCTGAATGCAGGGGCAGCTGTTTGAGACAATGCGCTTCTAAGTAAAACGAACTGAATTCAGAAGTGGTGCCAAGTTGTGTTTGCATGTTGAACTAATGACTTTAATACATTAAGGTGTTTGACGTGTGAGTTAATGTTCTAAAAATCCACTTGTCATTATTGGGCTTTGAGATTGTTTGCAAGTTTTCTTTCTAGATCAAATTCCACCACTTTCTGACATTAATTCGATTATTAATTCTGAGCAGCATCATTTGAATTTAAGCTGGGCTGCATCTTTCCTCACTGCTGCTAAAGGAGAAATGGGCCAACATGCAGCCGAAGCACAGATGTTACAGATGCTCACTGAAGCTTGAATGGTCAGTCTGTAATTATTACAGTCAGAGTTTAATGTATACTAAGTTCTCAGTTTACAATCACGGTCTCGTCTAATTTGATAAACTAAGAAAATTATTTTTATTTAAAAAATCAACAACAACAATAATAATAACATTTAAAAAATGATGGTTCACGTTGTTTGTGCATCGAGAACTGGTATCTTTGGGGTGATATATTCACATGTGGGACAATAATGGGGGGGAGGGGGGACGATCGTGATTAAACTGGAAAAATAAACAATAAAAAATCAGTCTGTTGAGGAACACAGCACACGAGCACGAAGGGAGTTGGTCCTCAACTCAGAACTATTTATATGTGAAGGAGTGATTGCTGCAGGTGGGATGATTAATAGATGGAGCACAGCTAAGAGTAGAATAACAGGGATGACAATATTCATAACACACACGAGAAAATAGCAAAACTAAATGCAATAATTACAATATTTAAAATGAAAAACCAACACAAAAACCTCACACCATAACAAAACTCTTTTTAAAACCCCCACATTAACAATTTTAAGTTCAGCAGATGCTTCAGAATATGCCAGAGCAGTTATTAGACTGGTTAATTTCTAATATGTTATCAACCAGTATGTTTGTAGAGCAGTATACCATTCAGTTGACGGAGCTCAGGGGTAAATTCTGCTCATGTGTGAGAATTAATCTTTCCCATTTTTTTTTATTCCTTGTCACGTTGAGTGAAGGAGGCTTGGACCCAAAATGCAATAACCCAGAACTACACAGGCAGCAGCAGTTGCAAAAGTTAGAATCCTTTATTTTTGGAGGAGTGACTAAAAAAAACTCAAATGCACAGGAGGAAACTAGAACAACGCTGACAATGGACCAACAAAACACTTCTTCTTCTTATTCAAGTTTAATGGCGGGTGGCATCTAACTGCTAGGTGCATTTCCGTCACCTACTGTGCTGGAGTGTGAGTTGGAGTAAGAGCGAGAAAAGAAATACATTAAAAAATAATAATAATAAATAAAATAAAATAAATAAAAAAACTAAACTCTATGCAACAGACCACAGTGCTTTAGATACCCAACAACCAACTTATAATTCCTTTCTTCACCATTTAACAAATTTCTTAAAGTCATCACTCCACCCCCTATGTCTCTTAATTTCTCCCTGAGTTGTCCACTACTTCCCTCATATTTTATGCAGCCACACAAAACATGTTCCACTGTTTCTCCCCCCACCCCACATCCACACAAACCTGTGGGATGTTTCCCTATCAGATGCATTGTATTATTAAGCCCAGTATGTCCCAATCTTAATCTTGATATTATCCTTTGATCTCTACTATTCATTCTTATATTTTTCCATTTTCCTACTTTTCCTTGTATCTGAAACAAATGTCTTCCTTTCTCTCCCCTTTCCCACATTCTTTGCCACACTTCCATTAAATGTGCTTTAATGATAGATTTAATTTCAGCGGCACTATATGCAATATTTATTATTTTCCTTTCTCTTATTGCCTTTTTTGCAAAATAATCTGCAATTTCATTTCCTTCTACTCCTCTATGTGCCATAAAAATTTAACTTCCGTACCCAAATTCCCTAATCTAAATATGGTCTCATATATCTCATATAATACATCTATTCGACTCTTGGTAGACATTAATTCAACTGACACTAATACAGATAATGCATCAGTACAAATAATTCCTTTTTTAATTCTATTTTGTTCCATCCATTGAAGACTAAATAAGATAGCTAACATCTCCACTGTGTACACAGATAAATGATCTGGAGTTCTTCTCCTAACTACTACTCCTATATGTGGTATCACAAATGCAAAACCGGTTTTCCCCCTACCAGGTCCTTTGATCCATCTGTAAAGATGTGCACAAAAGACTAAGCTTTTCAATCTATCTTCTGTAATCATATCCCAATTTCCTTTTCCCCCACTGTTTCTCATTTTATCATAAATACTATAATCAACACACACTTCCGGAAATAACCATTTTGGATTAACCGTATATAAAAATGTTTTAATTTGTACATTATCACGAATCTTACTCTCTTTTGCCCAATCTTGCACTTTCCAGCTACCATCAAAAAACACTGAGAGACCAGACAGGGTTATATACACAGGGGCTGGGTGATTAAGGGAATTGGGCACAGGTGATTCTAATAAACTGAGAGGAGGTGTAGAAACAAGCAGGGGAGAAAACCAGATCTAAATCATGTAAAACAAAGCTACTAAACTAAAATAAACCTAAACACTGTGGAACAAAATCACAGGAGATCTAAAAATAAGTAAACTAATGACCTAAATGGGGAAGGAAACACAACACGCTAAAGGAGATACGAACTAGAAAATCTGAACATATAGAAAAGTAAAAACAAGTGAAGTGACTAGGGGGAACATGAGGGAGACCTGGAGGAGGCGGGGGACCAAAGGGACACAGAACACGACATTCCTTAAGCAAAAAGCAGAAAGCAAATAAATTAACTGCAAAAATCCAAATTTTCTACAGCACTAAACCAAAACAATGAGTTCAATGCTATGCTGCTTGCACCCCGAAGCAAGAAGGGTGGGGCAACATGTCAGTCCAAATGAGGCAACGAACAAGGCTGTTGGAAATAAAAACAAAACATAAAGCAATAAGGCAATAATCTGTAGCATCGCTTCATGTTTGTGATTCATAGCAGAATTGCTCTGAGATAATCTCTCCTTTAGTCTCACCTGAACTCAACAAGGATTCATTTCTCCCTTCAACCAAAACTAAGTAGACTTGTCTAATAAGTAAAAGCCAATAACTTCCCCTCCACTGACGGGTCGAGTGAGTAATATTGATAATCTCATTACAGCAAGCTGCAGGTCATTGTGTTTGTGTGGATGGTGACACGTACCCCCCTGAAAATAATTGGCTGTATATTGGATTGTGTCAGTGCTATTGCTGCTTCTGCAGGTGGTCGGGACAAACCTAAAGGCAGAGACAAAAGAACTGTTTCATGTGGTTATGTGCTGCAGTGTGGCTCCTCGCTTCAGAATAATGCTGCTTCTGAATCCCTTTAGTCAAAACTGATGTGACAAATCAATTATGGTCACTTTTTAGCTTTTTTGTGAAGGTCTGTGGCTCGTTTCAACTTTCAGTTGGATATGCTGATTAAGTTTTAGGGTAAACGATGATTAAATTCATACAATTTGTTAATATGATTTTGCCCAAGCAAAAAATACACCATACTATCCATTCTGTATATATGTGGTGCTCTTATTTAATGTATATTTTAAAACAAGACCTATTAAAATGTGAATTCTTGTAAATGTGAGAATTGGTTTTAATGTTGGCTAGGTGTACAGAGATAGTTCTGTTGCTTGCTGCTAATTAAATTAACCAAGTTTTAACTGCTGTTGCAGGTACATGGCCATCATCCACCCCCTGAAGCCTCGCCTCTCCTCCACCTCCACCAAGGTGGTGATTGCTCTGATTTGGATTGTGGCGTTCTCACTAGCTTTCCCCCAGTGCTACTACAGCGTGACGAGGTTCTACTACCCCAGAACCGTGTGCATGGTCGACTGGCCTGATGATTACGGAGGAACGCATCAACTAAGGTGGGAGAGGGAATCTCTAACGTGAGCCTTCATGAACACACCTGCTATATCTCCAAAGTGTGTGTGTGTGTGTGTGTGTGTGTGTGTGTGTGTGTGTGTGTGTGTGTGTGTGTGTGTGTAGTTATCAGTTTGCAGTGATCCTGCTGATCTACTTGCTCCCTCTGCTGGTGATGCTGGTGACCTACAGCTTGGTGGGCCAGTCTCTGTGGGGTGGACACATCCCTGGAGAGGCGTCAGACCATTATCACAGCCAGATAACAGCCAAGAGAAAGGTCCATCTGTCCAATATGTTCCACCTCCTAGGGAGAGAACACCTGATTTAATCTGATTCAAAGCAGCAATCTGAGATTATGCATGTGTCTTGCCCTGTAGGTGGTGAAAATGATGGTTGTTGTGGTGGTGACCTTCGCTCTCTGTTGGCTGCCTTACCATATTTACTTCATTCTTGGCTCCTTTAACAGAGATATTTATAAGCAACATTACATTCAGCAGGTTGGTGCTGCTCCTCTGGTTTATCCTCAATTTTGATCATTTGTTTACTCATCGCTTGTTTCTTCATCAGGTGTATTTGGCCATCTTTTGGTTGGCCATGAGTTCAACCATGTACAACCCCATCATTTACTGCTGTCTAAACCAAAGGTAGGGGACTGGTTATTATTTACTTTGCCCCTTTTTGACTTAGAAAACTTGTTAGCCTTCTTACAGATTTCTCCTGTTTGTCTCAAATCAGCAAACAAATAACAAAATAAATTGTAATCGAAGTAAGTTTGAAATGCAAACTTAAAATGATGATTCCTATCCAAACCCTCCGGGCCATTTGGAAAAGTAGTTATCTTCCTTGTAAAATCAGGAACTAACTAACTACAGTGTGACTGAGCTGCACACACAAGGATCTGGAACACTTGATGTAACCAATTGAACCATGAATCCTGCTCTCTATCTCAAAATCCTGAAAGACAATATTTGACTTTTGACCGTACTTTTATTTTTAAATGCGATCGCTCGCTCTGAGTTCCACATGCATGCTGAATGGGAATTTTTTTCTTCAAACACCATCTCCTGCATTAGTTGCAGAAATTGGGCCAGAAAAAGTCGAGCTCTTCTACGTCACGGAATATTAGCATTCATGGCCCCGCCCACCTTGGCTAAATGTAACTGCCTGGAGAGAGCAGGAGAAGCTAACCATTAGCATTAGCAAAACCATAACATGGTAGAACATATTGAACGCATTGAGGCTTGTGTTATCAGTGGACATAAAACACCATTGTTGGGGTTTTTTTACGCAAGAAAGAAGCACAAACGCAGGCAGTAGAAGAATCATGTTGCTTTTAGCCAATCAGAGATGAGGTGTTTGTTTATCATGAATATTAATGAGTAAGATTATAAATCCTGCCATTTCCCAACCCCTCCCGAAACAGGAAAGTGAGAGCTTTTTGTCCACAGAAAAAAACTCACAAGGCATTTTTTCATTCTAGAGACTACTGAAAAAATAAAACAGTGAATGAGTGCCTTAAAAAGGCCGTTCATGCTTGAAAATCCCCCAAAGTTGGAGAATTAAAACAACCCTGTACAGAAGCGTGGGGCAAGATTCATCAACGATCACAAACACTTGAGTGCAGTTGTTGCTACCAGGAGTGTTCTAATTGGTTTGGATAATTTTTTCTTATGCTAATGTTGTAAATTATCATTTGAAAACTGTATTTAGCTTTTATTTTTACACTGATATTTGTTTGCTGATCTGAAATAAGTGACAAATTAAAAAGAAGCAAAAACAGACACAATCTGTGAGATAGGAAACACTTTTTTACAGCGCAGTGGGTACATTTGGAAAGGGATCGGAGTGTGATTTTGAAACCCTCAGTGGGAATGAAGTGAGTTTCCATCCCCGTCTCCAGGTTCCGTGCCGGTTTCCGTCACGCCTTTTCCTGGTGTCCTTTCATCAAAGTGTCGGAGGAGGACAGGATGGAGCTGCAGTACACAAACACCTTCCGAGTCACTGTGACACGCAGCCGCCGCAGTGACACATCGTACACACACGCTTCCATCAAGACAAATAAGACCGATAAGGATGCTTGTTTGCTGCAAAAAAAGAAAACACCCAGCAAACACAACTCACACACAGCTAAGAAGACGGATAACACCAGGAACTCTGCTGACAAACAGATGGAGCAGAGTCCCTGACCTTTGAACTTAATCATGACGAGGACGCAGGTGAAGACTGCAGCCATTTAAGACGTTCCTTAGCATTTATGAATGCCCTTCAAGAAGAAGCTCACAAGACGCTGGGCTCAGCATCATTGATTGGGGTTCTCTTCATCCTTCAGGGTTTTGGGGTGGCTGCAACTCAAGAAGCAAGGCTGGCTGGGAAATCCCTATTACACATCCCAAGGCCAACACCGAGACAAACAAAGGGAGAAGAAAAAACACTCGTTTTGTTAACTGAGGTAAAATGCTTGTGCATACTTGATTTGTGATTGCAGCCAGATACTTTAGTGAGGAAACAAAGATCCAATCATAGCACCGTGTTTCTGTAGCTACAGACCACAAGAGACAGGCTGAACTCTACACTGAGAACATCTGAAACATCTGTTTTTAACCACCGGCGCTTTTTCCTTCTTATAAAATTTTAGATTTGTCTTGTTTAGGGTGCAAAACTGAATTTAATTATATACTTAAAACATGATATGGACCAAAAAAGTCCAGCGGCACCAGCACTGAGCCTTAAAGTTACATTTTTTGCTCTTTAATCCACTGTCACACTGTGGAGCTTTTCCCTTATATTTACATAATTTATTGTTGGATTAGCCAATAAAAACTAAAAAAAAAGAAGAAAGCTGAGATTTCAGCTGCACTCAGTTCACTTAAAAAACGACAAATATTTTACTGGTCACGAATAAAATTCTTAGAATGTCGGTCACATGTTGTGAATTTAAACATTTTTAATAAGTCTCGTAAATTTTACTTGTTTTTCAAAAAGGGATGATTTTTATTGCCATGTTGTTTTATTTATTAACAGAATGAGCTATGAAAAAGTGAAATTGTAAATATTTATCATGTGACGTGTTTGAATTGTGTATCCTCATCATGATTTCTGAACCTTGTAAATATATTTGACTGTGACAGTATGCATCTTCTGTATTTGTTGTTGACATGAAGCTTGATTTGTATTTATTGTGACCTCCATTGAGCCAATGTTGTGTTTTTATGAGTGGTAATAAAATGTCAGCGCTTTTAAAAGTTTAAAATAAATCACATGCATTTATTTTGTAGGGTTGGGGTTCTGAAAACAGAAAAACTTACCTGTCCTAGACAGTTAGAAGAAATAGAAGAGACAGAAAAGCTATGCGCTGGTTAGATTGGGACCATTTATAAAAGGATTACTGTCCTCCAACAACTCCGACCTTCTTTTAAACATTTGCACCATAAATGGTCTCGGGGCCGGGGTATTCAATTCCTGGCCTGGAGGGTCGTTATCCCGCATGTTTTAGTTTAAACACTGTTTCAACGCCTGATTTCAATCAGCAGGTGATTATCAGGCCTCTGAGGAGCTGCTGAACAAGTGATTCAATCACTGAGTCAAGTGTGTTGCAGCCGAGAAACTTCTAAAACGTGCTGGGTAGCGGCCCTCCAGGACCAAAATTGAATACCCCTTTGGGAGAGTCTGACCGCTGCAAAAATCCTTCTCTAGCACATTCCAACGATTCTCAACGGGGTTAAGGTCTGGACTCTGCGGTGGCCAATCCGTGTAAGAAAATGATGTCTCATGCTCCCTGAACCGCTCTTTCACTGTTTGAGCCCGATGAATTCTGGCATTGTCATCTTGGAATATACCTGTGCCATCAGGGAAGATGGAAAAACCTGGTCATTCAGGAAATTCAGGTATTCAGCTGACCTCATTCTTGGAGCACTCCTATTGCTGAACCCAGACCTGAAAAACTGCAGCAAGCCCTGATCATAGCACTGCCCCCACAGGCTTGTACAGTAGACTCTAGGCATGATGGGTGCATCACTTCATCTGCCTCTCTTCTTACCCTGATGCAACATCACTCTGGAACAGGGTCCATCTGGACTCATCAGACCAGTGTTTAATAATACGTTGGACAGTTCTTAACTCAGTTTTGATCTGACCCTTCTCAAACGTCTTTTCCACGACCACCAGACGTGTCTTTCCACATGGTTGTTTAGAAATGAGAAGCAACTCATTGCACCAGTTGGGGTTAAATAACTTGCTGCAGCTGAAAAATAGTCACCCGTGCAGTAATTATCCAATAGGAGGATCAAATCTGTTTGCTTAGTTAAATCTGGGTGGCCACTTTTTGTTTTGGCCAGGCGGTGTATTTACAATAATAATATGTGCAGTTTCACAGCTGGAACTGACTTGTTTTAAGATGAAGAACTCTTTATTATCATTAATATTATCACTTAACCCCTTTTACTCTTGCCTTTATTGCACAAGTCTCAGGTTGATACAATTAAAAATAAACAAAACCTTAATAATATACCTTAGAACAAATTATTCTCTACAAAGACAACAACAAAGTCAGATGGACACAGGCTGGATTTTATTGTTTTCGGTGTTTTAATCTCAGTTTTGTGCAAGGACAGAAGAGATCTGGAAGTTTCCATGTTTTGCTGCAAATCAGCCTAATCATTTAACAAAGTAAATGGCAGCAACATTTAACATTATAATGGCAAACGAGAACATGTATTTGAACTGACCCAAGAAAATGCGCCTATGGCCTTTTTTTTTTAGCACGACTTTACAAAAAGGACCAGCCTCCAGATTGAAACAGTTGTTTTTAGTTATTTCAATAATTAAAACTAGGTGTGAATGACCCAAACAACCTAATCATGTCCCCAAGACATCAGGAACATGTCTGAATAGATTATATTTTTTAAATGTTCTTACATTTATACAGTTTGTCCATCATTGTTGTTCCTCTGGCACTCACATTAGCACCACATTCCCGTTCTATGGTTTCACTTCAGTGACTGAGGACGGCCAGAACACGAGATAACAGCCACTTATGAATAACTGTAAATAACAACATTTCACTTTAAAACAGGTTATCGATTAAAAAAAGGACAGAGATAGCAGTCGTAGATTAGACCAAGAAATGCTTGAAATAGCTAATTCCTGCTGAAGTCAGTGCAAACGTCTCTGATAGAACGGAACAGCTTCTTCTGTGAGCATCCTCCAAAATAAAAATAAAATAAATAACAACAAACATCACATCTGGGTAAGATATTAAAAACCTCGAGCAAAAATATTACTTTCATCTACGTACACTTTTATACACCATCTCAAATCCCTTTTTCTTACTGAAACAGTGTGACGCCTGCAGCAGTCACACTTCGGTCTAAAATGTGTTGTTAGGTCTTCTTGGATGAGGTTGCAGTAACCAGAAGATTCCACCAGATGGAAGCAGAGGAGCATTTTACTGGAGTTTTGGGGATTATTATTTTTTTGCAGCCGTTTCATTTTTTTTCAAGTTTAAAAAAATCACAAAAGTAAACACCCTAAAGAGATTAATTAAAGTAATCTAACTACAGCAGAGACTCTCTGCCGCTACGTCTCTCGTTTTATAAGACAAGTCAATACGAGTTAAAGCAGCTTCTGGAGTGTGGACGTGTTGACTTGATGTGGAAGGAAAAGAGACAACGTTTAAGAAAAGGAGGGTGTTTAAAGGGGAGCTAACATTCCGACAGATCGTTTTTATTATTATTTACTGTTTAGCTCCTGTCTGAATCGGCAGCCCACAGCGGTGATGAGAGCAGCTCCTTTCCCGCTGCCGTCCTCTGACAGCAGGAAGTTGACGTTACACCGAGGAGCCAGTTCTTTAACAGTCTCGTGCATGATGCCAGAGAAACTAGACAAAGTGATAAAGAGACGAGAAACATAATTATTCTGGGAAAATGAAGGTCAAAGTTGGAGATGTGTTTATCTCACATTCCATTTTTTTAAGCAGATGAAAATCATTGGACGTGATAATTTTAGCTTGTTTCATGAAAAGTTGTTATCTGTTTTAGATTGTTTGATTGGCCTTAGTTCAGAGAAATAGAGAACACTTCTGACAAGACATGCTAACAATTAATCACAGTGAATTTATTCCTCAATAGAGAAAATCAAATAAAATGTAATTTAATTATAGTAAAAGCTTTTTATATACAATTTCAGACATTTTCACCACCATCAATTTCACATTAAATATTTATTATGACAGAACGCAGCTTATTTGGTACGTACTGTCATAGATATATAGTTTATATACATATCTATGCGTACTGTACTGTTACACATTAGCGTCGATGCAGTCGGGGTTTGGTGGGGCTGGATGGCGTGAGTTTGGTCTGGTTCTTTCGGTGTAGTGTTCACATATAAATCCAATGGACTTCTCATGAATGTGGAAATCCGCGAGCCCGTGCGCGGTGTTTAATACGCACGGGAAAGTCTGCGGTGTCCTCCATAATAAGATAAATAAAGGTGGGCATGAGCTGTGTTGCTTTTGGAGACTCTGGACCACATTATTTTATTAATTTGCTTTGTGTGTCCTCATAATCTTGTGCTCCGCTGCTGCGAGCCACACACACGCACACACTGCTTTCTCTTCTGAGCAGCTGTCTGTCTGCTCGCTGGGGTGAGAGCTCCAATGCAGAGCACAGGGACACACACACACATCTCTCTCTCTTCTCCCGTTCCCACTGAGTGACAGCTCCGTGCTACAGACAGAGAAGCTTACTTCACAGCATCCAGCATGAAAATGAATCATGCATGCAGCAACCCCCCCTAGCGGATTCAACACACCAATCGGAAGCGTTATGCGTAATTTCAGCCGGCCAGTCAGTCATTAGTGTCACCTCTGTCCCAGTCGGACCGCTAGGGAGGAGGTCTGATAAAAAGAGTCGCCTCGGACTGTAAAACGCATATCCGACCCATGTGTGAAACCAAATTCCGGTCCCAAACCCGGCCGTGCCGACGCTAATGTGTAAACGCCATTAGATGGTGTTGCACGTGTTACTTTGTGGTGATGTTATCAAAAGACCGCTTCCGTGGCCTCGCCACTTCCGGAAGTTACAGACATCAGCTCAACTGAGCCGTTTGCATGCAGACGCAGTCGGCTTCCTACCGCCTTACCTGGGTGCTTCAGCACATTTAGAACCAGTTCATCTTCAGCAAGATTAATGCGTTTACACGCATTTTAAAAAAAACTGACGTCAGCCTATTTAGGGGTATAGTTAACTTTTCTGATATGCGTTTAAACAGACTGACTCTAGTGTGCTGAACGTCTCTTGATCTCTGCTCCCACGAAAGCGCCAAATGATTAGAAATCTGACCCAATAAAACTAGATATACATATATCTGTAAAAATGACACAAACTATCATTCACTGTGAACTAATATCCCTATCGTTAATAATGAAACAAAAATCTGCAAAAATAATGTTACACAGGTTTTATTTTGAAATATAACGGATGCTCATCCGGTACGACTCACGCATTTTATTTAACTTCACAAAAATCCGGGAAAAACAGACTCCCAGCAGAAACTTTCCAGAACTCTGCAGTTGGATTCACACCGCACCGCAGCCAGTGGAAATGCTCTGACTGGACTCAGTTTTTGATCAACGCGGAAGCCGTACGGCAGCTGGACCGCATCAGTTCCACATTCAGTGTAAAAGAGACAGTAGCATGAGGCTTTATCATCTCTATTTCTCCATACTACAGCTGTTCTAAACAATCTACACAAAGTTACACTGGAAAATCTGAACTCAATGTTTGTATTTAAGTTTTATCTTGTATAAATTAATGACACAAACATTTGCAGAATAGTTCTGTCAAACAGGAAGTTCTTAAATAAACCATTGAGCTAAAAGAGACTAACGTTAGCTAAATAACCAACCATTTTATTTTAGTATGTAATTACAGAACAATATAGCTGTAATAAAAAAACTAAAGATCAAAGCAAAAGGATTATAAAGAATAATGTATACTAATAAAAATAAAAAAAGAAACTCACTGTGGATGTAATTTGTACAGAGTCCCGTCGACCCCCACGGTGATGTCCAGATGGTCCAGTCCGCGGTTCTCCCTTATCTTATCCACGACCGCCGCCATCCCCGCCCCACACAGCTGAGCAGCACGACGCGCCACCGTTCCACAAACCTAACAATAGAAAACTTTATCGATATTGCAACAGTTCTCGTTACCACAGTGTGCACAAATGTATTTCACTCAGGGACGTGACTTTTGCAAATCTACACACACTTTCTGCTCTTTCACAACGCGCTGACAGGTCCCACACCATGTAGATCCCACCGTGAATAAAAAAAACTATGCTGTGTTTATTTCACCTCTTTCACAATGATACTGTCATCACAGGTGCTGTCCAGACCCAGGTGTTGCAGGATGGCTCTCACCTGCAGCAAAGCCAGTCTGTCACTAGAGAAGGGACACGAAGAGACAAGAGATAAAACACAATTAAATCAACCAGTAAAAAAGGTTGAAATTGTGGAAAATTATGAGAACAAATTAAATAAAAATCCATGCAAATACCTTGAAATTAACATGTTAACATGCGTGTTCAGTCAGATATGATCAATACATTTGAAGCACTAATAATAAAGGATGCTGATCGTTCTAGGAACACTATCTGCAGGTTCAGGATCTTATTTTATTTCCTTCCACATTAGCAATCTCAACCCCATGGTTTACCTCTCAATCTGTGAGAGAAACTTTGTTTCAAAGATGCCTCTGGTCTTCAGGGTTTCAGAAATCTGCCCTCGGAACAAGAATCCTTTCTTGGTCATGTCTATGAGGATGTTCCTCACAATCTCACCGAGGTACATGCCGCTGCACATCTTCTCATACCTACAAGGTTAAACACAAATAAAAGAAAAAGGAGTTAAATGGGTTAGGTGCTTTAGTGAACTGTCATGTTGGTCAAAATGTACTTTGCTGGTTATGCTGACCCAGACGAGGTTAAAAAGAGATTTCTGAGTTTAGCTGTGTTTGATTTACAGTATCTACGAAGGTCTGAAGCTGTCCTGTGTGTTCCCAAATAAAATCCTGAAAAGAAGTCATCCTTGAGTCCCTGTTTCAGCTCCAACATCAGTGCATCCTTTAGGCAGTTTTGGCTTGCTTTTAGCACCCCCTAGTGTCCGTGTGTAGAACCAAAAGCCAAATGTATCTCCTAAATGTGCGTTCGTCATCTTTAACACCTTCATCTAATAGCTGAAATGTCTCCCAGCCTTCATCAGTGTCTACATGAGTGATTCATCACTAAATAAAAAAACAGCTGTGTTCATGATCTAAATCATGCAGGAAACATGCTGGAACTGGACTGCAGCGCCAAGTCCCAGCAGACCAAGCCCGCATCTCTGAAGTGGAATATTCTGGCCACAGGGGGCGAAAGGGGCTGGGTGGCCTTTCATTAACCCTTTAAAGCAGTAAATCCCAACCTGTATTTCCTTGAGGACCTCCTTGCCTGTGACCAAGACAAGCCAGGGGCCCCCAACCCTAACCCCTACTTGCATACAAACACCAAAAGTGATTAATTACAAACTATAGAGACATACAGAGTTATGACTCTTATAAAGAGTTTTGTTTATACTGATGACCCTTGGGGGGGTCACAGTCCCCAGATTGGGAAACATGGCTCTAAAAGGTCATTTTAACACATACTGGTTCAAGAAAATGATTGAAAAATGTAAAAAGTTGCAAAGTATCTCTTTAAATAATACAAATCCAGATGCAGCACCTTTGTTTTCCTGGATTGAGAGAGAGGTCGTCCACAGCGCGGTCGTATTCTGTCCTGAAGTCATCGAGGCACCCGTTGTCTCCAAAAGCACCCCACTCCATGTTGACACACATCTGTCCGTCATCGCCATCGACCATCTCAATGTTCCTCATCTCCTCCATGTAACAAGCGTTGCTGCCCGTTCCTGCCATCAGCGGTGGAAGTGTTAGGTGGACAGAGAATAAAAAGGTGAAACACTGAATGAAGAATGAAATGAGCTCACCAGCAATAAGTCCAACCTCACAGGTGGGCTCTTCGTAGGCACAGGTCATCATGGTTCCCACCGTGTCATTGACTATAGCCACCACATCCAGATCAAACTCCTTAAAAAAATTTAAATTCAATTTCAGTTACCACTTTGTCTTTATTTCCTCATTAACGGAGTGATGCTGCCACTGCAGTCGTACCTCTCTTCGCTTAATAGCATCCCTCAGCAGTCCCACCACATCCTCTCCTTCACAGTCCGTCGCCTTAAAGCCTTTGGTCCACGTCACCAAGATACCCTGGACACACACACACACACGCACGCACACACACACACACGTACGAAGTCACAGACTGTTACGTTGTTCTACGCAGGTCAACTTCAGAGTCAAACTGACAGCATCCAGACTTGTCTGTCGGCATGGAAACGAGAAGGTGAAGCCTAGAGGAAGACGAGCGTTCTTCATCCCCATGTAGTCCAGGAAGTCACTGATGCAGTGCACGATGTGATCAAACAGCTGGAAGAGAAGATTCAACATGGACTTTGGTTCTGAAAACGTATTTTTTTAATATAATAAATGTTAAAGGTGTCTGATTATTCTGGCTGTCCGGCAGGCATGTGACAGATCTATTTACTGATTTTATTTGAAGCTCGTTGTTCACTATGAGTGCACATTAATGTTTTACAAAAACAACTTATAAATATAGGCTGATAATAGTGGAATAGTCATTAGTAGAGGCTGAAACTCACAAGTGATCATTAACTGTTAGTTTGAGCTATTTTCAGTTTCCTGGCCTCAAATTGGATTGAGTCCAGACGTACAACAGTTACATTCAAATGTAAGATTTCAAGTTCAATAAATGAACGATAATCTGAACCAGTCATGCACTCTGAACGTCTGCTTTCAGATTTTATCCTCGTTTCTTCATCAACAAGCATCAAACTACGAGCTCCCGCCAAACTACTTTAATCTGTACAGAATAATCTAACAGTCAGGAGCGGAATATCTAACAGGAATGAGATTTTTGTTGCATGTTGGAGAGATCTCACCTCCTCTCCCGTGCCCTGCATCACTTCTAGAGGAATAGCGTAAATCTTGTTGTGCATCTCCACCGTTCTCCTCTTCCCAGAGCGGATCTTCACCAACAACACCCGGAAGTTGGTTCCTCCCAAGTCCAAAGCCAGGAAATCACCGTTCTCTGAACACAAATACACACACATGCAGATTAAATACGACATAATCCCTAATCAAATTGATTCACTACTTATTAAAAACATGTTTACATTAATTTACACACCAAAAGTTGTCAACAAATACAAAGTGCTTCTTTACAAACTGGTACCGGAGATCTGAACCATGTTCCGCTCCTGTAACGACCTGTGAGTGTTACCTGTGCCATCAGGTGTACTTCGTACAAAAGTCGGCAGCATTTTGACCGTGGCTGAGTCCTGGGTGCTTTTAGCGAGGCCATTTTCAATCTCTGTCCTCATTCTCTTCTTTACCTGAAATCACAAAAATATTTTCAGTATGAGTTGTCTGATGATGGGAAACCAGCATTAGACATCGTTCTCTCCTCACCTCCAGCAGCTGTTCTGTTGTCAGGCGGAATTCAGACAGGATTTGGATGATTTGATGGGATTGTTCTGCGAGTCTATAGGCCACAGCTGTTACCATGGCAGCACCCTTCCCGCTGCCACTCTCTGAGAGGAGGAATCGGACGTCGCAGTCGGGGACCAGACGTCGGACGGTCTTATGAAGACGACGGGCGTACCTTCAACCAGAAAGAGAAGGCTTACCTACTAATACACAACAGCAAGAAGTGTGAACTGAGCGGTTGTTTGAGTCGTCACACTCACTGTGGGTGCATCTTGTAAAGGGAGCCGTCGATGCCCACGGTGGTCCGGAGTCGAGCCACGCCTTTGTTGTCCTTCAGCCTCATCAGGATGCCGGCCAGGGCAGCGGCCACCAGGTTGGCAGAGCGGTGAGAGACGATGGCGCAAACCTAGCCATAAAATGTGTTTTATGGAGAATAAAGCTCTGGTGACACAGTAACCTGGTTTGTTGCAAAGGATTTATAGACGACCTTTGAATTTTAGCAGCAGTTCAGCCATCTTTTTAATAAATCTAGCTTAATCTGTTCTTTCCTTTAGATTAAAACATGACACCTGCATATTTGTTGACTTTAGGGAACCTCAGTGAGATCATGGACGTGTGTATTGGAGTTTTAGTGAGGATGCGTACGTACGTGCTGCACAGCGATGCAATCGTCCGCTGAGGGCTCCACACCGAGTCGGGCTAAAATCTCCTTTGCTTTGGTCAAACCTTCCTTACTCCTATACACAAAAATGTGCACGAGAGAAACAAATCATGTAGTTTTTCATGCTTACATGATAAACGAAGTGCATTCTCTCAGTTTTAGCTTCGTGTTGTGACTTACTTCTCTATGGCTGAGATGTGTTTAGTCTCAAATTTGCCCTTGGTGAGGAGCTCAGGGGTGATCCTTCCTTCAAAGAGGAGACCTTCTCTGGCCATCTTCACCAGGATGAGACGGACCAGCTCCCCCATGTACATCCCACTGATCATCTTCTCAAATCTGCATGAGAGAAAAGATGAGGAGCTTATTTTATTAGGTTGCAGCTTGTTTTATTTCTTGTTTTGACTTACAGCTGTTTGCCTGGGTTGAGTGAGCCTCGGTCAATCTCTCTGTCAAACTCCGTCCTGATGTCCTCCAGCCTCCCGTCGTCTCCGAAAGCCCCCCACTCGGTGTTGACGCACATCCGTCCCTCGTCTCCCTCCACCAGGTCGATGTGGCGAAGCTCCTCCATGTAGCAGGCATTAGTGCCGGTGCCTACCATCACAGATAAACAACTTAATACAGAATGCACTGAATTTATTCCTACATTTAATGTTTTAACAAGATCCATACCAATGATGATGCCAACTTCACAACGCTGGTCGTCAAAGCCGCATGTCATCATAGTTCCCACGGTGTCATTCACCACTGCCATGATGTCAGCTTCGTAGTCCTGAAGCGATTAAGAAGCACATCTGTTAGAAGACTTGCGCCTTTTAGAGGGTTAAAATGAGTTGAAAATGGAAAGAAAAACTCACCCCTCGTTTTTTAATAGCTTTATTGAGCAGCTGGACAACATCCATCCCTTCTACCCCGCTGGCTTTGAAACGCTTTGTCCACGTTAGCAGGTAGCCCTGTAGAAAAGACAGAGTCAGAGACCAGCCGTGTCACCTTTCTGTACATGAATGTGGTTTTAAATCGGACTTGCCTCGTTTAGCTTGGCCTGCTGGCAGGGGAAGGAGAAGGTGAACCCCACAGGGAGTTTCTTGTCTTTGATGTTGTGTTTTTCCATGAAGTCTCCGAGACACTCTGCCACGTGATCGAACAGCTGGAGCCGGTGGGAGAAGGAGGTTTAACTCAGGAGGAGCTCACCAGAGGTTGTGTTTCTGTAAACTCACTCTTGTCCCACTGCCGTGGATGATGTCCTCAGGCGTGTCGTAAACCTCACTCTCCATCTGAACTGTCTGCTTCTTCTCGTGGCTCACTTTGACGCGAAGGATTCTGAAGTTACTGCCCCCCAAATCCAAGGCGATGAAGTCTCCTTTCTCTGTTGAGGTGAAACAGGATGGGCATCAATAAACATCTTTATGACTAAAGGCTTTATTGAGGACATTTAGCTTACTTAGAAGCCTAAAATCAGGCGTGGGTACATGAGGACCTGCTAAGTCATGAATTTATCTTGTATAGCGTGGAGTGAACAAGTAACATAAAAAAGTAAAATACAGAAAAATAAGTTTTCTTCAAAGGTTTCAACTTATTGTTGCGCCACAACCGTCACCAATCACCTCTGTTGAAGACACATTCTTGTGTCTCTTCATGTAGAGACATGCTGCTGCTCAACACCGAAGGTCTACTTCATCCTAGGATGTCCTGTTGCAGCTTCTTGTATTGACTAGTTAATGTAAAGCAGCCAGATGCTCAAGAAAAAACCTATTTAACTTAATTAAAGCTAAATATAATTTGCCTTTGCACATCTGGGCTTCCGTAGCTCTTCTCTGCTTTTATAGCAGGACTTCTTGCTGATGTGACAGTTGGTCAATCAATCGGGACCTGCGGTCTGTGATCTCTGGAAAAGATGAAACGATTTGTTTGGTTCTGAGTTACAAAAGCTGCTGTGAACCATCATAGCTCATGCTAACAGCAAACACTCAGAGCGTAGACAGTGTTGCGTTCATGGAAAAACAGTGCGGATGCTTTTATATGACATTAATAAAATCCAGCACAGATATAAACAAGGCTACTGTGAGTCTGGTTGTGTTCTGTCTCTAACTTTGTTCTAAATTATTTTAGTGACATCTCACTTGAAAATGTTGTATCTATCTGATTATTTTCTGAAATATGGGGCATAAACAATAGCTGCAGCTTAATTATCAGTCTAATTAAGCTAACAAAGACCCCAAATTCACCTCAGATTTCTGCTTGACTAAACTTTACTCCTCCTCCTTGATGATTCAGATTTAAAAAAATCCAGACAAATCACCTTTAACTGAATCCAATCAGGATGTGCTAAAGCTTTGATACTCTGACTTTACTAAAGCTAATGTGGACAAGTTAGCTGTACGTTTTTTTGGCACGTTGTTATGTCAAGGTGCAGAACTAACATTTGCACCACTCTTACACAGAACTTCACTCTCTTTTCTAACAAAGGCTCAAGGATTAAGTGTTAATCTCTGGTTTGTGTGTGTCGTACAGCATCACACCTGATACAGCGCAGGTCAGAATAATGAGCTGATCTGCTGCAGAACTGGATGAGGTTTCACGCCGTAAATCAACAGAGGACATATGTTGACACGACTTGTTAAGTGATTGGCACAATGACGTGTATGAAGAGGGGTTTAAAAATAGACTCTGCCCATGAGCAACGTTCTAATGTTCTAACATTCTAGCGCGATGTACAGGAACATGCAGGAACTCGTTATTCCTGCTGATCTAATTCTACAAAAACAGTACGTCCAAGCTGAGCTTTACACAAGTGAATTATTATTACCGGGATTGTTCCCACCATGTTGTGTGAGGGCAGTTCTGAGCTTATTCCTCAATTCAATTCAGTTTATTTATATAGCATCATTTCACAACAAGGAGAATGTGGGTCTCCGGAGGCAGCAGACAGGTACCGGATAGCCAAGCGGGGTGCAGCAGTGGCAGTTGCCGAGGCAAAATCTCGGGCGTGGGAGGAGTTTGGTGAGGCCATCGAGAAAGACTATTGATCGGCTCCAAAGAGGTCCTGGCAAACTTCCCGGCGCCTCAGGAGAGGGAGGCAGCAACTCGCTCACACTGTTTACAGCGGGGATGGGGAGCTGCTGACGTCAACTGGGGCTATAGTCGGACGGTGGAAGGAATACTTTGAGGAGCTCCTCAGTCCCACCTACGTGTAGCCTAGTGAACTAGACCAAATTCTTGCTTTGCAAAGTTTGGTCTAGGCATGCTCCATTGGAACCTCTGCAGCTCCTACCAGGACTCTGGCTAGCCAATCACAGCTCTCTAGAGGGGTTTCAAACACATAAAGAGCTGTGATTGGTCCATAATGGTGGGCCAATCATAGTGCTCTATCTGCTTAGTGGACAAATCACGGAGCTTTATCCGCTTTGTGGGCCAATCAGGGCACTCTATATGCCTGGTGGGTGGGATGATGCAACAGAGTGAAACAAGAGTATGTCGCATTCATTGTCCAGTGGAATGCGGAGATCATTTGAAAGACAACGGTAGAACCCGCCCCACAACCGAGAGCCGTCAATGGAGCGTGGCCAGACTAAATAATACATTTATTTAGTCTGGCTTGCCAGGCTAACCTACACGCATTCCGAGGAGGAACCAGAGCCGGGGGACCTGGGGATGGACTGTCCAGTCTCGGCGGCAGAAGTTGCTGAGGTAGTCAAACAACTACACAGCGGCGGAGCTTCGGGAGTGGATGAGATTCGTACTGGGTATCTCAAGGCCATGGATGTTGTAGGGCTGTCGCGGGTGACACGCCTCTGCAACATTGCGTGGTCATCGGGGGCAGTTCCTGTGGAGTGGCAGACCGGGGTGGTGGTCCCCATCTTTAAGAAGGGTGACCTGAGGGTGTGTTCACACAATAGGGGGATCACACTCCTCAGCCTCCCTGGAAAGGTCTACTCCAAGGTACTGGGGAGGAGGGTCAGATCGATAGTTGAATCTCAGATTGAGGAGGAGCAATCCTCCTCAAACTGTGGTTTTTGTCCTGGCCGTGGAACTGTGGACCAGCTCTATAACCTTGCAAGGGTGATGGAGGGGGCATGGGAGTTTGCCCAACCAATCCACATGTGTTTTGTGGATTTGGAGAAGGTTTATGACCGTGTCCCCAGGGGCACCCTGTGGGGGATGCTCCAGGAGTATGGGGTGCGTGGCTTTCTGTTAAGAGCCATTCAGTCCCTTTACCAGAGGAGCGTGAGTTTGGTCCGCATAGCCGGTAGTAAGTTGGACCTGTTCCCAGTGAGGGTTGGACTCCGCCAGGGCTGCCCTTTGTCACCGGTTCTGTTCATTACCTTTATGGACAGAATTTCTAGACGCAGCCGTGGTGTGGAGTGTGTCGAGTTTGGTGGCAGGAGAATCTCTTCTCTGCTTTTTACAATGATGTGGTCCTCCTAGCTTCATCCAGCTCTGACCTTCAGCTATTGCTGGGTAGGCTCGCGGCCGAGTGTGAAGCTGGGATGAGGATCAGCACCTCCAAATCTGAGACCATGGTTCTCGACCGGAAAAGGGTGGCTTGCCAACTCCGGGTCGGGAGAGAGGTCCTACCTCAAGTGGAGGAGTTTAAATATCTCGGGGTCTTGTTCACGGGTGAGGGTAGGAGGGATCGGGAGATCGACAGGCGGATTGGTTCAGCGTCTGCAGTGATGCGGACGCTGAGCCGATCTGTCGTGGTGAAGAGGGAGCTGAGCCAGAAAGCCAGGCTCTCGATTTACCGGTCGATCTACGTCCCAATCCTCACCTATGGTCATGAGCATTGGGTAATGACCGAAAGAACGAGATCGCGGATACAAGCGGCCGAAATGAGTTTCCTCCGTAGGGTGGCCGGGCTCAGCCTTAGAGATAGGGTGAGGAGCTCAGACATTCGGGAGGGACTCGGAGTAGAACAGCTGCTCCTCTGGATCGAAAGGAGCCAGTTGAGGTGGTTTGGGCATCTGGTCAGGATGCCTCCTGGACGCCTCCCTGGGGAGGTGTTTCGGGCATGTCCTGCCAGCAGGAGGCCCCCGGGTCGACCCAGGACACGTTGGAGAGGTTGCATCTCCAATCTGGTCCGGGAACGCCTTGGGGTCCTGCCGGAGGAGCTGGTGGAGAAGGCCGGGGTGAGGACGGTCTGGAGCTCCCTAGTTGGGATGCTGTCCCCGCGACCCGGACCCGGATAAGCGGAGGAAGACGACGACGACATTTCACAACAAGAGTCGTCTCAAGGCACCTTACAAAACAGACACTCCAGTTGAACCTACGTGTCAATGCATTGAGTTCAGTTTATTATTCCAATTAGTTGAAAGTTTCCTAACTAAGAAAACCCCAGTAGATTTACAACAATACCCTTACAGCAGCGACAGCGGAGAGGAAAACTCTCCTTTAACTGAAAGAAACTTTCAGCACAACCTGGCTCAGTCTGCCATGACTGACTGTGGATTTCAGAAGACAGAGCAGATACACACAAAAATAAACGCGCAAACTAGTAGTAGCACACTCTATGTTAAAGAAAGTAAAGTAAAGCGTAGAGAATGTTCGGTAGTTGGCAGGAGTGTGCCAGGGTTAAAAAGAATATGTGATCTTTGCTTTAACACATTTCAGCCCTGATTATGACATTTGGCTTGGTGAAGATTTAAGTTTGGATGAGCTGACCTGTTCCATCGGGGATCGAGCGCACAAACGTTGGCAGCATCTTCAGGGCAGCGGTGGCGTTGGTGTCCCCGCCCAGTCCTTGGACTAGCTCCCGCCTGAACCGCTGCATGATCTCCAGCAACGTCTCATCGGAGAACCGCATAGAGTACAGGTACTTATCGATCTGAGCGTGCACAGAGGAAACATAGACTTTCAACACTTAGATGAATCTTAAAACCTAGATCATCCATCTGTAACAATACCACAAATTGTGAAAATAACAATCACAGGTCTTGTGCTGCTTATTTATTCTCATGGGATGTTGTGAATGACGTTTAGCAACAACAGCCACAGTATCTGCAACGCTGACTGAGTTAGAGCCACTTTTGTGTTTTCTAGAGTTTAGTTGTAATGATCTTAAATCAAGTTTGATTGAAAGATTAATTGTTAGAGAAATAATTGAAAACCAAATTTTCTCTGTTAGTGTCAAGAAACCTTAACGAGGAATCATGCAGTCATTGAATCTGAGGAATTTTAAACCTCCTACAGGAGAGTTATCAGTAACAAGACTAAACATACTGGCGTCAGTTTACTGGCAACAAAACACAGAAACTGGCTAAAACTACAAAACCTTTCTGTGGGTTAAGCTGACATGACCTCTCCATGCTTTATCGTGATTTATATTCCGCCATATTCATCCAATGATTCATTTGTGGAAGTTTCATTAAAAAACATCCAGAGGTTCATGAAACATTTTACTAAATCCAACAATAATTGTTAAAGTTCATACAAAAATCTTGCACACTGCAAAAGTTCTCATCATGTGTGATGGAAATGACTCTTTTTAGCTATGATGACACCAATTTTTTACTAAATATTGGTAAAATTGCTGAGTTATGGGCCTTTTTGTGTTTTGGCAATGGTGGCCATAGTCTGTCGGGTTTGCGTCAGGTGCTGTATATGTGTCCAATTATTGCTTTCAGAAATTTTCATTAATATCCATCCAGTACTTCTTGAGAAATGTTGCTGATATGATGAGCAATCACACACAGCAGGCCTTTCCATAGACATTAAATTCAATTGTGTTTTACTGCAGCACCACAAAATGACAAAATGACACATCCAGGATAAGTTATTCTGACTAGGAACAGCACCCAGTCGTCAGATAAAGAGCGCCTTAAAACAATTAGCACTGTGTCCTGAAGTCATAAAGCTGGTGAGTTGAAGCCGGCCACTCCTGTGGAAAACGAGCAGCAGAGTCTGAGCCGTCTGAACTTTAGGAAACAGGATGTTGAACAGTTTAGGTAAAAAATCCATTGTTGCATCAGTGTGTGGTGACGCAAAGAGCTGCTTTATGAGACAAATAAAATCTAGTCTGATGAAAGTATCTATATGAATGACCCCATGCAACACTAACGCTGCGAGGAGATCTTCATTTGAATAAATGTAAAATCTGTCAGACAGGAATGCTGTGAGTTCCTGTTTCACAAGTTATACATTAACTAAATTTCCTGGGCTTCAAAACAAATGATCAGAGGCTGAATGGGTATAATTTACAGTAAACAATTTCTATTCACCAGAAACTGAAACAACTTTTATGGGTCAAAAAAAAAACTATGCTGATAAGACTAAACGGGCAAATCTGGTTTCCATCTTAACATAGAGTCAGTTTCTGGGAATAAAGTTCACCTATTCAGTCTTTTGTTTAAGTTAATAAAACCTCATAATGTGAGTCAAATGCATGCACACCAATAGGATCAGCCCTTTTCTGGGCTGTACTTTAACAGCTGAGCGTAGTGTGTTCTGTTTTTAACAGCTGTGACATGTTAGTGCTTGATGTTATCCTCAAGCCCTCAACATCTATTCACGTCACCCAGTCTCCAGCAATCTGCACAATAAACACATGCACAGAGACCAAATGTGTGCAAACTTATAAAGTGGTAAAAGAATAAATCAATATATTTGCTAGCATTTGAAGACATGCATGTACAGTTATGCAAATCTTAATTGAATTGCTGCTTATTGTTGCTGCAGCAAAATCTGTAGCGTTAATTTTACTCAAGCTGAGTACATTTTACTCAAATAGAGTAGAAAGTACTCTGAAAAAGAGTACATTTGGGTCCCATGGACCCAATTGTACTCTCTCATTTTTCCTGTAAGTTGTAAAACAGTGAAAGAGTCATACGAGGCTGTTAGATTTTTATATGTGACCCAAATGGACTATCTGACGTGATGTTACAAAAGCAGGTTTGAGCCAAGCTGCAGCAGCGCTACGTGTATCTGCAGCTACCACGAACTGATGTATAGTCTCCACCAAGCAAACTCTGGTGGAGACCCTTGAGTGTTAATTTCCCCTTGAATATGAGAAAAGACAACATGGACAGCTGTGGTACCAAAGGTTACAGCAGACTGGATCTCTGGCCTGTGCCACTCTCATCTGCTTTATTTGTGACACAGTTTTTTCATTTAATTTTACAATAATCGTGTACAGAAGTGTATTTCCCCTCACATGGCCACATGATTGGACATCCAAGCTGAAAGGAAACACACATAGTTTAAATATTGTGACCATAAGTAAGTTTTGGAGCTTTAAATGCAGTAAAAAGTAGATCAAATTGTCATCAAGAACTCTTACTGATGTGGATTCGGTGATGAAAATATTACTTTACACATATGACATTATTAGACTGTGATAAGCTGCAGATCATTTGATTTCCAAAAACCATGTGGCTTTGATCTAAGGCTCTTTTACCTGCCACCTCTTCCTGTGCAGCTTTTCTGATTATCCATACCAATAATTAGCTGCTTTGGTCATTTCCAGATTCTAAAGTACTTCACAGATAAAACGTTTAGCCTTCCGTCCATCTTCCTGGGTTGGTCCGTGCAGAATGAAAGAACAAGCCCATGAAAACTAAAGCATTCAAAGAGACTTTTACTACATTATTTAACTGCAGTTGTTCTAACACGCTCCAACCTTTTCTCTGAAGGCCTTTGAAAGCTCCTGAGAATGCGACACCACACGTTAGCATGACAAACAGCAGACAGAGCTGGCACTTCCTGGTCATTAGCACCTCATCTGCCACCCCAAGTTTTAGTTTCATTCATTCTAAATTCTATTCACGGATTATAACAGTAAACATGAAAGCACAATTATGCGCTTTTCAGATCTGCTGAAAAGTTTCATTTCTATGAGAGCTACATTTTTCAGCTGAATGCAAGTGTCTAACGAAATGACTGGTGTATTTATCTGGCACAGACCTTGTTTACTCTTTTCAAAGCCAGCTGATGTAAAAATATCTATTGAGGTTTAATGCTGTGCCTTCTGTCTGCCAACTCACCCTGTTTGTGCATCAGTGTGTTTATGCTAAGGTTTAACAACCCTTAAACATTTAACTACTCTTCGCCATGTTTGCAAAGGGTGGGTGATAAGATACGGTAAATAGATGCTATTAGATTGGAATCGTCACATTCTAGGGCGTGTAGTAGGAAATGTTTGTCTGGAGCATACTGCTTGATATGCCTTTCTCATTCTGATGACAACCAATAAATTAAATGTTTAAACAAAAACAAAAAGAATTGTTTTGATCAGTTCTGAAAATTTCTATCTCAGAAAAACCTCCTCCAATCATTAGGAACATCCCATTCCTAATAAATGGATCCTGATCCGTCCACCAAACTGCCCTCTGACTGTCCCTCCCCCCTCTGCACATACCCCTCTATGTGCACAAATTGTGCGGTCTGGACTTAGAGCAGCTGAACTGGAAGCACAGCTAGAGCCAGGCTAGCTACATTAGCTAGTATACCAAGTTGTTATACAGTAGCCTGAGCAGATGTAGCAGAGAAAGTTTCCAGAGTAATAGGCCCAGTCTGGATCTCTGATCAAGGTACCAGTGGCTTTTCTTGCTTCTTTCATAAGACACACCATGCCGACAAATTAGGGAAATATTGTCAGGATAGTGTGACTTGTGAAAGCGCCATGGCAGCAATGCGATGCGAGAGTTTTGTGGCTTTCGTGCCATCAAGCTTGATAGTAATATTACTGCAATGGGGTACTCCTGAACGAAGATTCCGCCTTGGTGCAGCAGATGGCGATGTCATGATCCCATGTGGAATGTCCGCCGAGCCCCGGTCAGCAACAATATTGAAAATGAAAGTAAACACGGGCAGTCAGTTTCGCTTTTATAAACAAAATGAGCTGAGATGGCAAACTGGAGCGACGCAGAGATCCAGGAGCTTCTGGCCTTTAGAACTGAAGCTCAGATCACCAGAAACTTCACAGAAACTGTGAAGGACAGCCACCTTTGGAGCGGCTCATGAGAAAAGCTTAAAGAGAATGGCTTCCATCGCATAAAAAGCAAATAACGTCTAAACTAAAGCGATGCTCGTGACAGCGCAGAGACCGCCCCCATACCCCCTTAATACTGCCGACATTAGGGCTGTCGCGGTTGAGGAATTCCCACTGCGGTGATTCAGGGTGGCTTAATATTGCGGTGTGCGATATTATTGCAGCCCTTTTTTTTATTGCAGTACTATCTAAACATAATGCTTACACATTTAAAAAAGGTTAAAAATTGCCGTGCCTTCTTTTATAACACTTTACTGAATGCAGATCAAAGGGCAGTAACAACACAGATCGCAGTAACGTTTGTTTCTCCGACAGTCGGAGTCCGACTGAACTTAAAAACAACAAAATTCAGGAGAAGGTTAAACTTTTAAATGCAAATTTGGTTGCAGCATCTAACAAATAAGAAACAAGTCCCCATTTTGTTTAGTTGTTTAAAATCAAGCATAAAAAATTACATGTACCAGGCGCGGGGCACTATAATTTCACTTTCACTTTCACACACACGAATGACGGTGATTTATAGCTCGGTCACGTCCTTGTTGCCCATAAGGAAAACCAGCATGTTAACCATATACGCTTTGAGAGAGGATCTGAGAGGGGTGGCAACATTTCCAGCAACACTGAAAACCCTCTCGGATGGTGCGCTCGTTGCACTAACGCACACGTGCGTGCGACTCTGGCGAGCAAAGGGAATCTCTCCCGGTTGTTGCTCCACCATGTCAGGGTTTTTTCTTTAGGGTGGATGCATTCCTCCTGCAGGTAGCGCGTGAGCTCCAGCTCGGCTCAAACTCTCTTCGGGACGGCTGCAGAAGCAGTGCTTGCCCGGGACTTAAGCAGGT